ATATATATATATATATATATATATATATATATATATATATATATATATAGTATATATATATACATATATATATATATATGACTAAATTTGAACTGGATATGCACTCTGCACAATTGTCCTTCTGTGCATTGGTCTTGGTGGTAGCTTGATGATAAAATCTTTCCCATCTATATCTAAACAAAGGTACAACCGGCATCGTTGCCAGAGGTGGTTACTAGGCAGTAATCAATCGACTGAGCCTCATATTTATTTTCACCCTACCCTTGCCTTATGTACATCGTAGGAATCGTATGAATCAGATTTTCTTCCACCGTTTTGTCGCAGGTTTGTGGATGTGAGTTTATTAGTACCGGTTTCTCCTATCGTATGGGTAGAGACTCTCGCCTGAAAACGGGAATTGAGGAATGGCCTAGATTTCACCTCCGACCCGATATTCAAAGGCTGTAGCGGCACATTGGTAATGCCAATACACCGTTCAATTCCAATCCCGATTCTACAACTACAAAAAGGAAGCCGGGGGTTTGTGTGGATGTACGGAACGTTTGAAGTGTCAGTTCTGCCAAGCTCTGAATCCCACACAGGTATAGCTGACACGTAGGACATATAGTACTCGCCTCCAGTTGATGAAACGAAACTAAGGTTCGATCTCAAACCCAAGCCAGGGTGCATCTCCCGTGCATACACAGTCCAGCTCTCAAGGATCAATCCCTCGAGTGCAAAGACACACAGTGTGGTATCACACACACAGACCACTCGACAACGATACAGTTCGGTTCACTATACTCTCCTCTACTAGCGCTTGAAACAACCCTCACACGCGTGCGAATAGAATGTTCGAGTGCAGCTCCCAGGGATAAACTTTAAACCCTAGGCATATCCATTCATACGCAGATAGTGTCTTGATCGCAGATCTGCTTGTCTCACGGGCTCGGGCACTCGGAACTGTCCACAGCGACGCACCAGGGCAACGGCCGAGAGTAGGCTGATACCACTACCCACAGACACGTAGATGGGACTGGTCACCTTGGCATTCATACACACCCCCTGGACAGAAAAGTAGAGTTTGTGGTTTAGAGCGCAGGGGTTTGGGTTTTGGATTCAGGGTTTTTGGTTCAGAGTTTGTGGGTTTGGGTTCAGGGTCACAACGCATTAAAGAAAAGGCCGAGGGCAGGCTGGTGCCACTCCCCACAGACACGTGGATGGGACTGATTAGTTCGCACACGCCCTATATGACTTTATGTAGATACGAGTGCAACTATTGATATACGTGTGTGGATCTGTTTATATACGTGCGTAACAACGTAAACATGTGTGTTTCTTTTTATATCATGTGTGCATCTATATATATACATATGATTATCTATTTATATCACATGTGTGTATCTATTTATACCACATTGTGTATCTATTTATATACATCTGTGTATCTAATTACATACATGTGCGTGGATCCATTTATATACAATTTTAATGTAGGTTGTGGTGATACGATAGACATTGGAGTAATGGCACATATAGTATAATCGCAGGAGAGCGGTCGGTGTATGAGAATACGACTCCTTTACTCACAAACAGTACGACGAATTTACTAGCTGCACTGGCTACCAGAGGCAACTTGATGTACAAGTTATATTTCATATACACCACTTGCATGGGAGTATTGTTCACTTCGATGGCACAAATCGGTTTATATCATATATAACACTCAACACACCACAACAACCCAATTATACATCCCCGAACCCGGCACAGCAGACAGAGGTCCGAAAAATGGGTTCGGGTGCACATGACACTACACATGTACAATTGTAACGCCCTAGCCACAAGAATTGTCATGGAGGAACCCAAGACACTCAGCATCACACAGTAAGACCAACGTAGCAGCAGTAGCCGAGGCATACGTTCACAAAGCAAGAACGTTATAGTGCAACAGGGCCCAATACATGCACATGCACGGTGCGGATCCCAATAATAATAATAACGGAATGTGATGAGTTCAGGCAGCTCCCAAAACCAATACGACGCCGCACTCGACGCAAGAGCAAGACTCGGACAACACACCATATGTGTAAACGGAAGGTCTCCGAGCACAATCAAATTAAAACTCAATATGTAAACTACAGTTGTACAGTGTAAAGTCATGATGTACCTTTCATTAAAACCCTACAATGCAAAGTCATGGTGTACCTGTGATCTCACAGACCCTTCATGATGTACTACTACACAAGCAATAACGTGCACACCTCAGCACATACCATGCCCCAGAGAGTGCCAGAGTTGCCGCGCAATTCGAGCATCTCGCCTCCACCGCCTAGAGGTATCCGTTCAGCTGAGAAGCCAATCGTGAGGAAAACCAAAGCAAATATAAAACAGAAACAATGAGTCACAGGGATGGTTGTGTGAGTACAAGGAACCAGACTGATGTAGGTTGACACATCTAGCGAAGTGCAGCCTCGAATATTCGTTTCAAAATGACATACAGCATTATTTTTAACCTGCAATGACAACCAAAGCAAGTACAAACAGCCATTCGTGGAGCGTGTGATGGTGTACAGGTGAATAGTCAAAGCTATTAGGGTTTAGGGTCATGGTGTACCATACGATGGATGTGGTGACTGGCATAGGCCCATATGCACACCAACGGCAAGTCTCACGCTGACCACAGCGAGGATGGTCAAGTCCCACGCTGATTACAGCGAGGGTGGTCAAGTCTCACGCTGAATACAGCGGGGATGATCAAATCCCACGCTGATTACAGCGGGGATGATCAAGTCCCACGCTGATTACAGCGGGGATGGTCTGGGGGCTGCGCGTGTGTGTGCACCAGCAGCAAAAGCCTCGCATGAACCATTATCAATTGAGTTGCACTCGAACGTTTACGCAAATAAACCAAAACACGAAACGCGTTGAGAGGACACTCGCCGTGAAGCACTGAAGTGGCGTATGAAATATTCGTGCCGTTTGTCTGTTAACAAATGACAGCTGTAGCGTTGTGGCCCCACACAGTAGTTCTACCCGCATAAAAATATTCCTAACTATTTGTACAATAAACCATCCCGTGTGTATATATATTTCTAGACATATGAACTTATAACTATATTTGAATATATACGTAGATCAAGGCCTCGAAATACCGATATATACCAAAAGGCACTACACGTCCCCATCAGGCACTTGCCGCACTATCGCCATTCAGACAGCAACACTACAACCCACACAGACAATTGAATGATACACCAGACATACTCAGAGAACCAGCAATAACAACAGCACACACCCAGCGTGATGACATCCTTGCTCAAGCCATCGACCATCAAAAGGGTCTTTCCGACGCCCACAGTAGGTATCGAGATCAACACTGACAAATGACTAGCCAACCCAAATCCTACAGAGTTTCGAATGCATGGTGCCGATATGTTAATGGAGATAACCATATGACGGTGGCATAAAAGGACTTCTGACTTGCAGGCGCAATTAGCTGAAAACGCCCTCTCCTCATATATATATAAATATATACATATATAAATATATATATATATAAATATATATATTTACACACACACACACACACACACATATATATATATATATATATATATATATATATGTGTGTGTGTGTATGTTGTTGTTAGTATTNTTATGTATNTATATATATTA